CAAAAAAATTTCTTGTCTAACTATTATTTAACAAATATACAAAGCTGAGTTTTTGATCTGCTTGACCAATTTTCTTGATTTTTTTTCCGTTTCTTTCAACGGTTTATCGCCTCATTATGGCTGGAAGGTGTTCCTGGGTGTCGGGCTTCGACAGGGAGATGCATCCCCCACCCCGGCGGGGTCTCCCAGGTTGAGAAGGAGTCCGACGCTTCCATTAGGAAGCTCAGCTAAAAGTAAACCAATGGCAGAATCCACCACCGTACTGGTGTCAAACTAGTCGCATGGTGGCAAATCTTCCTCTGATCCACAAGAGCGGCAGCTGATTGAGGTAGTGTGACGACCTGGGGCAGACTTTGGTCAGGCTGTTCTCAAGACTCCAGAGAAACACAATTGCTAAACCAACAAAACTCTGAAAAATGGAGAATATGCTGAGGTCCGCACAACCAGTGAGGACGGGCCGTCCAATTATCTAAGTTTTATCGGTTACAGAAGAAAATCAATTATTCGTATAAATGACTATCAAAAGGAGCAATACAAAAATCGAATGAAAACACAACTTTGATTAAAAGGTTGCGTATCTCGTTCGATGCAATTCATTAGTTCACTCTCTTCGACTACTTAAGTCATATGTGACTTACACTGTCCACTTGCACAGTACTCTCCACATCTTTATTACATTTACTTTGGCGATATATTATTTAGCTGTAGTTCTTTTTTCATTGGTTTCTACTTGTATAATAAATACTTTTGCTTGGTTTCACCTGCCACCTGTAGTCCCATTGATTGTCGAGTGACTCGAGCGGGGGCCAGTAAATCTTCCACTTTTCCCTGTCGCGTGCAAGAGTAGCTCAGTGGGTTCTGCCCGCTCTTGGGACATGTTAGGCATCATATCTTTCTTCAAGGCTCTTTGTGAAGAACTCTGACCATCGGGTCGGTGGTCTTCCTGCAGTACGTTTGACATCCCGAGGAATCCAGTCACCAACGGCTCTTGTCCATCGGTTGTCATTCATACGCATTAGGTGTCCGGCCCACCTTATCTTCGACTGTTTGGCGTACAGAACGGCATCTTTGATTTTTAATAGTTAACGCAGATCGGAGCTTCGGATCCCATCCCTTACTTGTGTGGAACGGGATACTCTTAGCATCGTCCTTTCGACTGCGCGTTTGATAACGCTTAGTGAGCTTTCATCCTGCTTACGCAGCGATCAGGTTTCTGACGCATACGTTAGGGCAGGAAGTACCGTTGAGTCGAAAAGGTGGGCGCGGAGTCGGGTGTTCTTCGTTCTCTTCATTACATCCTCGATGCTCTTGAATGCTCCCCAGGCCGCTCGTTTTCTTCTGCTCAGCTCTGGAGCTAGGTCGTTCATCATATTGATTTCCCGACCTAGGTAGATGTAACTGGAGCATTCGGAGATATTCGTTCTGTTGAGTGTGAATGGGGCATGCGAAACCAATCCGTTCTTTATGAACATCGTTTTTGTGAGATTCAATTGAAGACCAATCTTTCCACAGGCTTTATCAAAGTCGTTAAGCATACGTTCCGCTTGGCTAATGTTTGGTGTTATAAGCACGATGTCATCAGCAAATCGAAGATGGTGTAACTCTCGATCGTCGATTTTCACTCCCATATTATTCTATTCCAATGTTCGCATGACGTTTTGGAGGGTGGCGGCAAATAATTTTGGCGAGATGGTATCGCCTTGCCAAACTGCTCTTTTGACGTCAATGTTAATATCGTTGTAGAATGGTGATATCTTAGCTGTGAATTTTTTGTACAGCCCACGAAGAATCTTTATGTACTGAGTAGGGACTCCTTTACTGTTAAGGGCTTCCAAGAGTACTTCTAACTCAAATGAGTCAAAGGCGTACTTTAAATCGATGAAAGTGAGACAGAGTGGTCTTTTGTACTCTCGCGAAGCTTTAATGAATCTTGTTATTGCGTGGATGTGGTCCGTCGTACTAAAACCTTTTCAAAACCCTGCTTGCTCACATGGCTGTCCTTTGTCTAGTGTCCTGTCAATCCTGTTTAGGATGAATCGAGTGCAAAGTTTGTTGACGACAGACAGTAAACAGATTGGGCGATAATTGCCGATATCGTGTAGGTCACCCTTCTTGAACAATAACACGGTCGTGCCGGTCTTCCATTAAGTAGAGACCTTGTATTCAGACAGGTAACGTGTGAATAGCCGAGCCAGTATGTTTACGAGGACTAGCGGAAGGTTCTTCATGTGTTCTGGTCTTATCCTGTCCGGACCTGGTGCTGTTCGATATTTCACCGACGAAATGGCATGTCGGATTTCGGAAGGGAGAACCGCTGGTACAACATATCCGTGCTCGTTTATTTCATATGACAGAACGTGGACGTGGCTATCGAAGAGATCCGAGTAGTATTCGTGAATGGTTTTCTCCATTACCTCTCTGGACGCTGTAACTGTTCCGTCTGGGCGCCGAAGAGCAATCATTTTGGTCTTATAACTGGCAAAGCTTCGTTGGGCTTTGCAAATGCTTTTTCCAGCCTCTGCAGCTTCGGCCATTACTGCTGCTCTTCTCTCTAAGATCTTCTTTGATTGCCTATCTGCATTGTTTTGCAAGTTCGGGCGTTAGTTCGCGGTTGCCTGCAGCTCGTGCGATTCCACGCTGGCGTATCAGCTCGAGTGTTCCTGGAGAGAGACGTCTCTTGGTGACTTTCGAACTCTGAGCTTTCATAGCGCTAACGTGAGGATGTTGAATGAGCCGATCGTATTCTTCGTCGATGTTACCGACAACGGCATCTTCCCAACAGCCGACTAATGAATCGAATAAGTCCCAGTTTGTGGTGGTTCTGGGACTTCGGTTCTTGAATTTAGCGGATTTTCCCCTTTCCGCGAGAAATAGAATCTTGCACAAAGGAGATGGTGGTCTGATCCCGTGTAGAATTTTGGGACAACAGCGACATCGATTAGACAAAACCTTCTATTTACTGTGATGCGGTCTATTTCGTTATGGTTCTCTCCATTGAGAGGCTCCCACGTCCAACGTGGAGGGTGGGGCTTCTGGAATTGTGAGTTACCATTGATGGTCTTGCTCGCCATTATAAACTCAGACAGCCGCTCACCCTGTTCATTCCATTCTAATCCGTGGGTACCTATGTGGCGTTCGTCGGACGTTCTTCTTGGTCCAATCTTGGCGTTGAAATCTCCAATGATGACCTTGAAGAATGTGTGGTCTTCTCTGTAAAACTTCTCCAAGTTCATATAGAACGCTTCGACTTCTTCTTCGTCAGAGTTTGATGTTATCGCATAAACGACGAAGTTTGTCAAAGCCGGAATTTATTCACGTCTTTTTAGTCGTAAACGTCCGATTCGAGTTGTAAGTTGTTCGAATGAATCGATTTTCATGGACAAACTGGTGCTGACCAGAACGCCGACGCCGCCGACTCCTCTACTGTCGCATGTTCCGAGGAACAGTTCTTCTCCGGTGTCATAGACGGCATTGAAAGGCTTGCCTCTTCTTGTCTCGGCCAGGCCGATGACGTCGTACCTTATCCTTCTTGCTTGTATGAGCAAGTCTTCTATCGAGGACTCGGATACAAGTGTACGTGCGTTGTAGGTACGGATCGTCACCTTAGTTCTTTTAAATCCAGGCAGCTTCCATTGGCTCTGAGATTTTAGCAGCCTCTCCGTACTTGTTCTACCCAACGCTGTGAAATTAGGAGCTCTTTTGTGGTCAGGGGAATGAGGCCCGTTTTTTTTTACTGTTTGGCATTTTTGATACCCACGTATAGCTTACTGGGCTGTGAACGTATGGGCTGGGTATACCCACGGGTAGCTTGCCAGGTTCTCCCAGAGTGGACATGGAGCTTATTCGTTGGGGGCGACTCCTAACCGTCCCTCATATATTTCCCAGTTACTTGATTGCAGGCTTTTGGCCAAATTGACTCGTAGAATACAATCCGCATAAGCAAGAACGCACCCACACACACATGCATGAATACGCCTAGCAAATACAGAAAGTATGTTGTGCCAGATCAGCGCAGCAGAAACGGGGAGACCATACCCTGGATCCGCCTTCGTCTCAGGGAAGCAAAGGTCGCTTTTGTTCCGCGATTAACCACCTATCCGCCACCTGGGGACGCACCACGTAGCCTCGCGACTAACCGGCTCGAGATCCCTCATATGAGGGAGATCCGTGGTTGTTTGGTTTAGTTATTATTAATATGAGCATGGATGGACTTTCTTTTTGACGTTTATTTTCATTAATCTGACTCGTTAACCTGTTCGTACTCCTAGCCATCGTGGTCTAACTTCTGCTTTATTTTTCTCCTTTTCTGGTTTTTCCTCCCAAAATTTACGCCTTCATGTCGATTCTGGATTTCGTTTTTGTACGATGCAATTGAAGTTTGGCGGAGAGTCGATTGGGTGATAAAAAAGTGGCCGTCGGCCATCATTGATGTGGCTGACGGCCTCTATACACCTCTGTTAGCCATCTTTTTTCTGGCCTTGAACGCAGTCTCTTCTCCTGATGTGGGCCTATATGATGTCCTGAACTGTTTCTGCTGTTAAATATGTTTCATTTATACTGTTTTCCACCTTTATCTGCATCGTGGTATCTTAATAGGGACCATTACTTTCTCAAGAGTTGAGGAGTTATCATATAATTCGTTTTCAGACGCAGCTAGTAAGTTGGTTGAGTGTTCCATGGACAAATAGATCCTGAGGAATGTCTGGAATTCTTTAGCACTCGGAACATTTTAAACTCGTTTCTTTGTTTAACAATAGTGATACTTGTGACCGATGGATCTTTTCTTGCTAGTTCCACTTTACTTGGATCCACTAGTTTTTTTAAACTCGATGTTTATCACAGTGATTCGCATGTTGGCGTATCCGTCCGATCACTTTACACTATGATTTTAGGCTTTTTCGCCGTGCCAGTGCTTTGCTGAGGCCGTTGTCGACCGACTCTATGGCAACTAGCCATCGCGTTACCATTCTCTTACTGTTCATCTAGTCGAGGAGCTAAGAATGTCATTGTTACCGGTGAGAAGTTTTGTTGGAGACGTTTTCCTGGAGGCTCGAATGCTTGGCCAACCGGTGGCTGCCATCTATCAGATCGGATTTTCTATCGACGCCCCAGAATGCAGCGTTGCCTTATTTTGTAAGTGACAAAGCTTTAGCTCAGAACTTTCCGTTCTCCTTGGAATAAGTTTTTTTTTTGAGAGCTTTTCTTTTACTTAAATAGTTTTCATTTCAAGTCCATCGTCTTCTATGAGTAATTGTCCTCAATTTTTTTATTTTGCCTATTGAATAAGCATTCTTTCTTCACTTCTGTATGGATCTCCTGTGTTTTTTGTTAATGGAACTTTTTTTGCAGGTATGTCTTGTTTGAGCCACTCTTTCCTTAAGACTTTCCAGTTTTATTTATGATGATATTTTTTTATTTTTATTTATGATTTTTTTATGATTTTTTAAATTATAGTTCTATATTCAGTTGAAGAGCTATTTCCCATTAAATTCCAAGTACACACAGTGCATTTCATTCGGGTTCTTCCTCTCTTGGGGTAATGCAAGTGGCTTGTTTGTGCTAAGAATCCCTTTAAAGCAGCAGAAAATGGAATCGCATAGAATCGCGTGATCGCAGACTGATAGGCTAGAACTGCTGGAATTGGAGAACTTGTTGGTTATGTGAAAGGGAACTGGGAAGGCTGTTATCGGAATACATTACTACGTCATTAAATACTTGACGTTGTTAAGAATCAGTCACTTAGTGCCATTCTCACTATATGATGTTATTTCTCTTTCTTACAGATTCAGAAAAAGGCACTTAACCGTGATTCTGTCCTAATCATGAGAATCTACGCAAAATTTCTCTGTTCGTTTTGTTTCACAGAGTATATGAAACTCAGCAGAAGGCAAGGGTTTAAAATATTTCCATAGCAAATAGCCGTTATATTTTTGAAGTAGAAACAGTTCTCTTAAACAAGCAATGATCTCATCAACAGAAGTTATTCATGTTTTTCACTTGTCGGTGACTTTCTTTGCTCCTTAAGCTTGCTGGAAAATATTGAATGAAATGGTCGAGCCTCACAAGTGGTATTTGTTCGTCTATAAGTGTTTAAGAACCGAGAGAAGCAATCGTCCACTAAAATGTCCATATTGCGTGTTTAGTTTTGACCTCAACCTCATTGTTGTAGTTTAGTTTTCATTTCTTTCGTTTTGGTACGGGAAATGGTCTTGTCTAGGTGTTCTACTTACTCCAGTACTGCAAACAACAAACTTCCTTGGGTGGATATCTGAAAACTGTCAGGACGTCATAAAATTCGTTAGTGTAGATGATTTGAATTGGGAATAAAGTCATTCCAAGGAGCAGTTGGCATGTTGGAGTTTAGTGGTAGTTCCAGCAGTGGTTTACAGACCAGTGATTTGGTTTTATCTCTAGATGAAACTTCTATTCGTGTCCACACAACAGTCTTTAAGATATCGCTTTTGCATGGCGTTTTAATGAGGTAATACGAGATTTTTATAAAATATTTTTTCGGCTATACTAGTCAATGTTCGACTTGCTATGTCTGTGATCGGTTGGGCAGAAACCGTTGTCATCATTAAGTAAACATTCCTCCGTTGCATAAATGTTGGCAGGTAGAGACCCTTAATTCTTTAGTAGGTCTCGCAACATCAGGAAAAGCTCGATAGACTAACAACATGTTAACCTTATCATAGTACTAGCTGAGTAGTCCCATCTATGACCTTTGGTTCTGAGACACTGATGAGTGACAATTAAACCTCGAGCTGTGATCGGATTTCCTCAAGGTCCTGAGGTAGTTAATTTCACCTGTTCCCTTACAGAACACCAGGAATAAAAGTACAAACAATCGGCATTTAAAATATAGGAGCTATTCTCATTCGTGGAGAGAATGTCGGTCCACAAAATCTTGATGGTTTAGGTTTTATTGAACATCGATCCCATCCACCAGTCACCATGTCGACTCATATGAGACTCTTTCACTTCGCCCATCTATCCTTCATGTTCATGTTTTACGTTAACATATGTTCCATATCATCAGTTACTACTCATTAGCTTCTGCAGCTGGATGGGACCACGTCAAGGGGTTCGTATGACCTTGTTGAGAGAGTGGTTATGATGAATGCCTTTTTTATATTTGTGCTCTCAGGTTTCCACGGCAAAATAAGGCCGCCCTTCAGTGGGGAATACAGAGTTGGAAATTTTTATTGGAAGACCGAAACGGAAATGAAATTGTTTTTCCGTGCTTCTGTCCAAACCACGCCTCTCGGATAGAATTCTATTCCTGTGGATTAAATTTTTGTTCGATATGAGAATCCTGCCGTTATTGTTGTGCCCTTTCTGGTGATGAATATCCCTAACCTACTATGTTTTCACATCGTGTTCGCTCATGTCCCATTACACTTGAAGAATCGTCTTCTTTACCCAAACCACTGAGGAATTCTTTTGAGTTCCCTCAAGAAGAGAAAACGAGTCATACATTACGAATATTTTAGACTTCGGCAAAAATGAAATGTCGATAATGTTGTAAATGAAGACCAAGAGCGGTTTGTGTAGGTTCCGCAAGGTTCTGCAGAATACCTTCAGTTCTTCAATCAAGAATTCTATAATGCATCGTCGCCACCATCAGAATGTTGCTTATGAAAAGAAGCAAATTGGATTTCACCAGTGAACTCCGTTTCAAAAAATTTCAAAACAAGTAGTCGTACAACAATTTCTTTTGGGTTTTACAGCGTCCTTGCAGCATACTCGTGCTTTGATGTAAAAAACCCACTCTGGAGATCTCTTTTTGTTGTCCCAGTTGTTAGTAGATGATTTACACATCCTGGAAAGAACTGCGAGAAAGGGAAAGTGTCATCGTAACTTCTAACATCGTCGGAACATCGACCAGCTTCTTTATCAAGGGAATTCTACAAGTTCTTTTTACAGCGATTTCCTAATAATACATAAATATCTGTCGAAGAAACCAAGAGAAAACGGTTAAGCATGGAACGGGGCCCGAATGAAACTAATTTGGTAAAAAATTGCGTCGTATGTTGTCATTATCGGAATGTGAAATCTAAAAATACAATTTTAACTTATTATTTTCTGCATCCTCTTTTTAATGGCGGGGTATATCGCGATTAAAATTAGATTAAAATTTGAAATGAAATTAAATTTGAGTTAAAACTTAGCATAGAATTGTGATTATAACTAACTACAACCTCAGCTTAACTGGGTTCATTGCCCATTCGGGCTCCCCAGATCAGTTCCATTGGCGAATGATTGCCGATGGCACTGATCGATAGAACTAGCTGAAAGAGGCGGAACGAAGGACCCCCATGGTATAGTGGTGAACGCGTTAGACCCTGAAGACGTAATAACGCGTTCGTTCCCCACCGCAGACACCTGTGGCCCGGAGTTTTGCAAATATCTCAGCATTATTGAAGTTATATTTCGCGGCTTAGACCGCCATTAAAAAGAGTAGGCAGTCAATAAAGAAGTTAAAATTATGATTATACCTACAAATGCAGTTTATAAAATCATGCCAGAAGCACTTTTCTTTCTTTTTTCGTTTTTCTGAATTTGCTTCCCATTTTTGCGCGAACTCGTTTTCTAAAGTCCACAATCTATTCAACAGGTGCAATAAGGTGTTTGTTTGATTCTAATCCCTTTATTTCAACGAGCACCGGAGTAGGCTGGAAGTAAGCAGTGTGTTTCTAAGAATCCATTGAATGGAATCATCAATTGGAAAAATTCACTCTACTATCATATTTTTTAACAATTAATAACTATCATTGGATTATGTGCGCTAAATTCTTTAACTGATTTGGCCATTCAAGTTATCATCTTCATCATTCGCTAACCGTTCAGGTGATGTCTCGTTATGAATCATGTCTTCCACTGAATTCCCCATTCGCATGTTCGCACGAATATGAATAGTATTGGGTTCACGTTAAAACATAGCTAACCCTTCGCATCGATTGCGAACTCGTTCTTCTTGGCTTTTGATTGGCGATATAGAGCTCTGCTGTTTTTTTTTTGTAATCTTTATTCAATTGCTTTATAGTACTGATGTCTCGTTGATCCTTAAAAAACTATTAGTCGCGCCAAATAATCCACAAAAAACTTCTTTCTGGGCTATTTTTTAACCCAGGAAATGTAGACGTCTTCCTAGGCGGGTGCTATACAAAGTTAGACATAGGAGAACTTATGTCCTACTGATTTTTAAGCAGTTTACCTTAATGCGAAGTAAATTTATTCCTTGAAATAGCAAGGAGAATCAGTTCCATTATCAATTTCCTCGATTATTTGTTGCTGCAGAGGTCTCACAAAGATTGGATAAGAAGCAGCTGCGGTGTTCCATAATTTGTTCATTTCCCGAGAGATACCTTTGGCGATTTTTGAGAAATATTCTCTCGTGGCCACTCAGTATGTTTTATGCTGTTCCGGTCCGGTCCAGTAATGGCGCTAAACTGATTGTCGTCAGCTTCAGAAGTGGCTCTAGAATCTCCTTGTCCCCTCCTTGTTTCCAGCACTCCAATAGGGGCTCTCGTCTCTGTTGCAGGATTTCTTTATTGCTGCTGCTCAGCAGTTTGTATGTAGACGATGACGGTGGACAGCGCTTGTTTGCTATTCCAAAGAAATTTCCAAACGGACAGAACTGCAACAGATAGTGCTATTTTAAGTTCCATTGTGAGTCCATACAATAAGAATGCTCGAATTTGTTCTTTCTTTTCTTTTTCTTCAGATCGAATTTGAGGACTTAAAGCTCCGTTGAAGAGCGACAATTGTGCTCTCCCGGAAAATAAATTGCGGCAACTATTCCATCCCGGAAAAATTCAAACTGACTGACGGTGACTGGATTTTTCGAGTAATAAGGGGAAGATAGACGCTCTTATTAATTCTTAGAATCTTTTTGGTTGTATTTCACATAATATCCGCCTGTGGAAAAGATGGCAGGCAGTAAATAAAAGTTAAACATTGTGATTTCGACTGCAGTTTCAATAATTTATCTGGATTCAGTGCCGATTTGCTCCTCCCAGATCATTCTCATTGAGGGGTGATTACTGATAGCACCCTTAGAGTAAAAACAGGCTAAGGGCAAGGCGAAATAAGGGGATGAGTGGCGCAGTGGGTAACATATGAGCCCCCTGAAAGGGTTCGAATCTCGTATGGGCTCTGGATTTTGCAAATGTCCCATCATTATTGTGGTTGCATTTCACATAATGCTCTAACATAAAAAGGACAATAGGCAGTGGAGATGTTAAACATTGTCTTTTAATTCATTTTCAGACTTTCGGCCGGTACGCATTTGAAATTGTACTTAATGGTGATTAGAAGATGTAGATACGCTTGTGAATTTTTGCTGAGGCTGGGCTTGTGTAATGCCTTCCACACAGTGCACTGCCCAGTCATTCATTTCCATTGAACTCGTCTCGCTAGTCTACATTCGTAGTCAGTTTAATGTTAATTCGATTGAGATTCTCAAGCCAACGACAATTGAAAGGTAATTGTTTTCAAACATTGGGATTACTTGTGTTGTTTTTTAATGGTATAGGTGGTAACGATATAAAGTCTTCATCATTGGCTGCGAGTAATTGAATTTAACGCTATTCATTGACGTTTCGCTTATCACTAGGGTTTTTGTCG